TAATCACACATTCTTGAAAAAAAATATTTTTTTTTTTCCTGAAAAATCTTTGCGAGACACGCTTTGTTCAAATTATGAATTGATCCGCGAGTTTTGAAAAGGAACACCCTCAAAAGTTATTCAATCATCAAATAATCAAAATTAGAACACTCACGAAACATTAACTTAAAACCACTTACCAGAAAGTGTGAAATGAAAATCAATGCAAGACAAAGAACCCGAGTATCTAAGACGCGAGGTTGCTATGCTAATAGACCTCCCCTTTGGACATGGATCTACATTCACTAAAGCAGAATTTGCTTTTAACAGCACACAATGCTTTTTACGACATGCATTATTGCATGTCATAAAAAAAATATTACGGTATACATGTGAATATCATATAAAGTGATGCTTTAAATACTCACATGAATGCACATACATGTGAACGTCAAAATACTATTAAAAAAATATATTTTGAGTAAAAAAGCGGGCTCAAAGAGGCTCTAAAACATGTCCAATGTAGACACACACAAATGAGGAAATGGAGGGTGGGTGGTTGGGAGTCTCGATGAGATGAGATGAACCTACGAATGTATGGGAAAATGACTGAAACTACTTGCTTTCAAAATAAGATGCTAAAAAAAATTAAAAAAAATACTTGTACAGTTGTTGGTCTAATAAAGAAAAGGCTTTTATGGAGACATAACTCATAACATGACGAGACACAAACAACAATTGAAAACGCTATATTAATAATTGCGTCACCTATTGAGGCTACAACCTACAAGTCTATGATTAGAATTATGCATGTACACGTCTAATATTACTGGCAACTTCAATTTTATTTCTGTTACTTATTCAAACTTTAATTGAAATCGCTCATTAAAAACTATTACTTATTATTTACCACACATTTCGTAATCCCCACCGCTATTCTTTCTACTAAATTCTTAAAAGAGTGACTACCAATCAATCCTGAATAGAGGCGCCTTTTCTCCTCCACATATTAAGGGACTGCCATTTGATGATGATCCAGTTAATTGAGTCTGCTTTTTTTAAAATTCACGTACATAGCTATATTTCAAGTTCTTTTTCTATTTATTTTTTGTCTTGCATAAATTAATTAGGGTTGACATCTGAGATTCCCCATGTGATATTAATTAAACTTCATTTTTTTCATACATATTCCATTAAGACATCAAATTTCATCTTAAAAGACCAACATTATTAAAATGAGTGACACAACTTTATATAGTATAAGTTCATGTTTTTATATTTATTCAATTGGATATTTATTTCTTAACATGTCCTCGCAAGATAGTGATTCTTTTGAAAATACAAATCATCTTGTCCGTGTGCTCATTTAAATCCTAGCTGATACCATACTAAAGTCTCAAACAAATGTGAATCCTATTAAAAGGAATAACCTAAAATCTTGTCTAAAATCCTACGACTCGCACAAAATGGAACCTCGGCTAGAATCACGTGTCTTCCTTGATCACAATTCCCTCAACCAGAGTGAATATTATTGCTATGGCCCGTCTATATTTCTCCATATGTGGATTTTGTCAAAAATATATTTCCCTTTTACCTCTATATATAACATCATATACTCTATGACCAAGTTCAAATGCTAGCTGCCTCTCATGCACTCCCATTGTGCTGCCACCCACCCAACAGATCCGCCGCCTACCTATCCACACTCCGACTCAGTCACACAAGATGTAGTCTATACCAATTCTCCATTCGCCATTAGTATGCATCATGAACACATTAACGTTATTGCATCTAGCATCACTATGTCTGATCCTCCCTCGAATATGTCAGTTTATTTTTTTTATATTAATTCGATGTAATATTTATCCTTAATATATTCATTCCAAAACAGTTAGAGAGAGAGAAAAAAAAAAGAATGCAACCAAGAAATTATGTATGTAATGAGTAGGTCCTGGGCATAATATTTTGGTGGCATAATCAGGTTTTTTTCTTCTTTTCAGCCGCCTTTTCTCCTCTTCCCTGTGCGTTTCTTTTTTTTTTTCTTTCTGCCGGCGGCTTCTATGTGTTTCTTTGAATTTTGCCATTTTTTACCACTTTTACATTTTTTTCTCCTATTCTTCATTAAATATAAAATTTTACCTACAAAATACAATATAACATAAATTAGATAGAATTTTATCCAAAAAACAATAAAATATCATGATTTAGGGCCTCGAATAAGTGTAGAAACTACACTTATTACACCCCAAACTTGAATCTTTGTTTGTCCTCAAACAAAACAAAACTAAAGTCTAAAATACACACAAACACGCAATGCTAATTACCTAATTGATGACCCAGTCAATCAAGTGAAGCAACAAGATTTAGCTAGCTAATCTGACTTTTTATCTCGGGATTGAAATCATAATATCAAATCTATGTACAGCTCCAAAATCAGAAGGATGATATTTTATTTAATGGATATGAATAAAATGTTCTTCTAAAATTTTGAAATTGTATTAGGAATGAATTTAGAGTGGAATAAATATATAAAATTTGTGTAGATTTATAGTTTTTAAATGAATGAATTTAATAAGGAGACAATATTAGAATGTGACGTGGATGAAAATAGTAACTTTTTAAAATTTTAATATTTTAATAGAGATAGATATAGAATGAGATACATGTACAACAATTGTGGAGGTAAATGGCAGCTTCCTTTCCCATTTTATGTGTCAATTACTCACTTCTTGAGCTTTAGCATTTAACAACATACGTGTATATGATTGCAGAAATAGGTAAAGTAAGATACCCTTAATTTGACCAACTTGTGCAAATAATAGCCAATCGCATATATTTGAAAAAGGAACTATTTACCGTGATCTTCACAATTCGAAGAAACTCCACTACTTCTGCGCCTTCTCCGATGCAGACTGGGCCAGGATCAAGGATGACCAAACGTCTACAAGTGCGGAAGTCATGTCTATATCATCTACCCTGACCATAACCTTATCATGTAGCTCTAAGAAGCAACGGAAGGCTGAATGTTCTTCTAAGGATACCTTTCTGTCGGATTCACTACAGCAATTGGACCCTATTTCGAATATTGATATGGAAATAGACCGTGTGGAACATGGCAAAACATTGGTGGACGATGAAAGGAGTCCGGACTTTGTGCTTCTTTGAGTCTAATCTTGACTGAGTCTGACTGTCAGTTTTGATCATATAGCTGAAATTGTTTCAGAGAAATAAAAGGTCTGTTTTGACTCATCATCCAGTACACAGTTCAAACTCTCTCTCAAAATATTTTTCGAAAAACGAGTTAAAGGACTATTTTGGAATAATGAGTTCGTCTTGCTCGCTTGATCGTTAAGAAATTCGAGGAAGCGGAATGTTGTTTCGATTGGAATAGACTTGCCGAATTGGTAATGTTGGCATAAAAACCAAAATAGATGATTTAAGTGGTCAACTCTAGATGCGTATTAATTTTCGGTAACGGCATGCTGAAGTACTCTCCAAGACATTTGCAATGGTACCAAGAGCTTGATTTTATGTCTGAATAATTTATGCGACTCAATCTAGCTTTAATTTATGCGGCAAGTTCACTTACCCATTTTATTTTTTTATTTTTTTGAATATCTGTTTGACTGTTTCTTTTCTTGTAGTTATGAAAATGTTTACTGTATAACTGGAACAAAGAAAACATGCAGCAACTAAACAGCAACAGGATCCAGAAGATCCTTGTGAATGTCAATTATTTGACAAAGGTGTTTAGAATCACCTTTTTTAGGGAAGTACACGTGAATCAATCTCCTGATTACTAAGTACTAGTTATTGAATTTCAAATAGCGATTAACATCATTGGATTTCCTCGGAACACGGGGATCATCCTCCGAGTCAGGGTCAAAGTCATATGTGCGTCCACGTTTTCCAGCACTTATAGGCGGTGTGTAGTTATTCCGATCAGCAGCGGCAGCAGCTTTTAGTCGTCCCTTATTGCGGTTCTTTTTGTTGGATTCGTGTTTTCTATTTTCATGTACTGGAAAATTTGTGCCTGCAGCGTTAAATTCTATCTCAGTAGTAGTAGTTGCTGTACCGGCTGTCAAGTTTGTACACACATAAAATGATTTTTCGCAACTTGGACACTTGACTGACAATGTTACTCCTTCGGCGTCTAATATCGTTCTGCTACTAACATTGGTTACATGATGATGAATCTCGTAGTTCGGATATTCATTATTGGGTCCTATATTTGCAATCGCTGCAAATGGATCTTCAGGATTCGCCATAAAGCTCTCCTATACACACACACACACAAAAGTATATGAATTAGGTGAACACAATCTTGATATGCATAAATACGTTAGCTAATGAAGAAAAAATAGTCATACCTCTATATATTCTGATCAAAGCAAGGGAGATGTAGGCTGAGAATTGAGAGAACAAGTGGTTATTGCAACGCTAGCTTGGTTGCAATGTCATTTATAATGCCTG